TCTTTTCCTTCAGAATGTTGGCTAGGCATTTGCCTACCTTCAGCAACTTTGATGGGTCTCGGGGGTCTACCGAGAAGCTCTCAAGTTCCTCTACTGGAGATGCCTGAGGCTCGTGTTCCATGATGCGGGGGTCAATTTCATCGATGACCAGCGCCTCCAAATTAGGTGGTGTATCGATCATGTCAACATCTTCTTGTTCGGTGGGAGCATCACCTTGGACGTCAGCCATGACCATGTCAGCTATGATTCCATGGATGTCCCGGGGCTCTACCTTCTTGATGGAGCTTAGATAGCATTCTCTCGAGCCTCTTTGGTCGCCTCTCACCGTTGCCACCCCATTTTCTGTTGAAAATTTTATGCACAGGTGGTGGATGGAGGTGACTGCTCCCAGTTCCTTTAGGGCTGGTCTGCCCAACACCCCATGGTAGGCCGACCGGCTGTTAACAATGAGAAACTCCATGAAGTTCATCGTTGTTCGTGGGGATTTTCCCATCTCTACTGCTAGTGTTATCTTTCCTCTCGGAGTGATGCTATCTCCGGTAAATCCGTACAACGGAGTGGTGGTGGGCGTCAGCTGATGATCCAATATCATTTTATCAAAGGCGGATCCAAATAGAATGTTGACAGAGCTATCGTTGTCAACTAACATTCGTTTGAGCCCATTCCTGGCTCTGACAACCCTCATCACAAGTGCATCGCAGTGGGGGTAATGAATTACCTCTGCGTCTTCCTGAGAAAATACAATGGGTGAAACCTGGTTTCTTCGGGAGCTGCTACCCACAATGTAGCTTGTCAAAGGGGGTGTTTAGCCTCCCGGGCATAGTTCCTTTTGGCGTTTCGTGTTTCACTGCCAACATATGGACCTCCAAATATGGTGTCCACCTCGTGGATAGGGGCTTCATCTCTAGCTTGCCGGTTTCTTTAGTGCCTACGCCCTTCCCTGGGCCTCTCCGCATCATGCTCCCTTCGCCGTGGGGATACATCCCTTTGACGGGGAGCGGCCTCCTCACGCCCACGCTGGTTGTCGTGCTTGGGCGGGAGCTTGTTCGCCTACGGCGAATCATGTCTGTCTCTAATGGGTTCCTGCTGGGAACGTTGTGCATAGTCTCTACAATTCGCTGTGTTATGCCCGTAGGACCTGTGGTGTACACAGTATTCTGGGGGGTTCGAATTTGACCTATTTCTAGGTCCAGAGGGTTGACCTCGGCCTCTTCCCTAATGGGGCATCTCCTGAGCCCCCATCTAATGGGGGTCAGTTATTGGATTGACATCTTCATATGCCAAGGTGGGAACCGCATTCAAAGTGGTGGTGGCAAGTGCTTGAACAAAGTTCTCATTGACGGCCTGGTTCATCTAGTAGCCCATCAGGTGGGAGGTCGGGCCTCTACCGCGCTGTCTTTGAGTAGGCGAGAGGTCTCTATTTGCCCTGTTCCTATGCTCAATCAATTCTTCATTGATGATCTCCTTTCTCATCATTTCGAGTAGGGCGTCATAGGTGGTGGGGTCTTGATTTTGCACATCTCTCCAGAATAAGGTATTCATGTTCAGACCTCCCCTTAGTGTGGATAGTGCCTCTCGGTCGCTGACTTGTACGCAGTACGTCATCTCATCGGTGAAGCGTGATAAGAAGCTCTTTAGGGACTCCCCATGTGCTTGCCTCATGTCCTGGAGACGTTGGATGAGGGCTTCTCTTTCTTTGCTTACTGCGAACCTCTTCAAAAATGTTGTCTTGAACTCGGGCCAGCTTCTAATGCTCCCAGGTGGCAATCTGCTATACGAAATTTCAACCGCTCCACTAAGCGTTAAATGGAAGGCTCTGCACTTCACGGCTGGGGTACCGTCCCTTAGGCTCATGTGAGTTTTATAAGCATTCGGATGCTTCTCCGGGTCACCTCTTCCGTCATACTTTGGTATTTTTGGCATAACATAGTGGCTCGGGACCTGGGCATTCCTTAGTTCCCTTAAGAATGGTAGGTTCTCATCGTCATCGTCCAAGTCGCAGGACTTCTGCTGTTCATCTGAGTCGTACTCATCAGCCTCATGCCCCGGTTGTTGGTGATAGGTCCCGGGGAGATCCCTAGCATCTTCCTCCCTCCTCTGCTGCCTATTTCTAGGCTGAGCAACACGGGGGGCATTTTCTTGCCTTCTTTCCGCCTGCTGGGGCATTGTAGGTGGAGGAGGCGGCCTTGTCCAAGGCTGTTAAGCCTGCTGTTGTCTTAGCCTGGGTTCGGCGGGGCTGATTCTGTCAAAAACACTTCCTGCCCTCCTATGTCTTGGATCTTGCTCATACGGAGGTGGGAAATTATCACGACTCATTTGGACGTCGGTGGGTTGGCCAGAAGAGTAGTTGGAGGAAACATCAACTTCCACTTCCCTTTCAAATGGGCTTCCACCTCGGCCATCGTCCGGCGTAGCAGCTCTATGACTTTGGACTTCATCCTCTTGCTGGTAGTGCCCTTGGGGGGCATATGGAGAAATGGGGAAACCTCCCTAGCCCTGCATTTGGGCCATAAGCTCTCTCATAGCCAAATTTTGGCTAACAATATCCCTCATGTTGGCTGCCATGGCGGCCATTTCTCTTGATAATCGTGCCGTTGCACGCATCCCACCTCTTCTTTGGTGGTGGTGGAGTCTCTGCCTAGCTGCTGGGGCAGCGGGCTGAGGAGGTACGTTCGTGTTTTCTCTTACCCTCTTGGGGGGAGTATCTTCATTGGAGCTCATTTTCTTTTGTCAGATTTCAGATTTCGCTAAGTAATGGGGCTTCCTCCTGTTCTTTTCCAAGAACAAATCCTTTTTCAAGGGGGGTTGCCCAAATATCCTTTCAGCAAGCTTTTGCCACAAGGTTGCTCGTGGTTATGGTATGGATTCCCACAGACGGCGTCAATCTGTTGACCCCAAAAAGCGTTACCAACAGATGCCGGTCTCACCCGCGCACACGTGGGCGAATGTCCAACACGCTAAGACACATGGACGGTCTAAAACGAGCGGTTCAAAAGGCGTGGGAGTAGCCCAACGACACGGGACGGTGAGGTTCGGAATCCGACGGGTTGTTCATGATCCGATTGTACAATAATTACCAACCGGTGTTCGTCGATGTATATGTAAATGTGTATAAACTCAATTTGTATACTGTAAGTAAATGAGAGAGAGTTGAGTAAAGTGTAGTTCTTTGTATTGATTCTTGCATTAGCCTTTTGATGTTACACAAGGGAAGTATTTATAGTAATATATGTGAAATGGGAGCCCTTGGATGAGGTGGCACGTGGCCTCATCTCTTTGATTCAAACATTTTATCCTAGGTATGGGGCTTGACTTGCTAGCTTGCTGCGCATTTATTGCTTGTGCAGAGCCTCCATACGAGTGACAAGACTTGACATTTATGCTTATGACAAACGTTCCATTAATAATTCGAATAAGATCTTTGTGTAGGCGATCTCTTGGGAGAAGTGACCATGGAGGATGCCCCCTTATGGTTCGAAGGCTCCTGCATCGGCTTTGGGGCGTCGGCCATTTCATACGATACTTCCACTTGAGGGCTTCAGCTATCTTCAACCAGTTTCAGCATCATGGTTTCAGGTCATAGGCCTCGGCATGTGGACCTCGGGTACATTCACAGGCCTCGGTAAAAGGGAGCCTCGACTAGTAGACCTCGACTTGAAGGGCTTCGGCCATAGTTCACCTCGGCTAGAGGGCCACGTGGTTCGTCCTGGGTGGGCCATTGGCTCAGGTAGGTTAGCCAAGTATGACAACACGCAACAACTATATTTTTCATTATCATTCTTCAAAAAATGAGAAACAAACGGGAGCTAGATAACATAACATTCAGATATTATTTGATTAAACTCCAAGATTTGCTTTCTTTTTAATTGTTATTTTAGTAGATAATTTGAATAATAATCAAACTATAAATAGTTTATTTCCCTTTTTTATTTGAATTGGTACTGATGAATTCGAGTTTTATTATGAATTCAAGTCTCAGAATAATACTAGAATTCTGAACAGTGCATCAAACTAAGGGTAAATTTCGTCGGCAATCATTGAACCTTAAAGCGAAATCTCACTTCGATCATTAAAATAGAATGTCTCAATTAGGTAATTAATAAATTTCAATTTCAATTGGATAATTAAACTTCAATTTCGGTACATAGTCATCATTTTGTCATGCATTATCCCCCTAATCGATTAAGGGCATGTTAGGTAGTAATTATGAGAATTGTTTTTTTTTTCGACCGTTAGAGAGAAAAGTGGGTCACACCTGTGAGTAAAAAGTCAAAAATGATGACTGATCATGTTAAGTAACAGTCAAAAATTTTATTTTTTAGAAAGTGAAAAATCAGAACCAAACGGGAGGCCAAATTTCTTAATTAACAATCATATTGCAATAAATCTTCCGCATAATAGTTGCATATATATCAAAGTTATGATTATGACGCGTCATAAAAGTGTTTAAATATATACACACATTTTAATCTAATGATGTTACCAAAACTCTTATTTTACCCATTTTTATTTTTTGGGTATACATAGCAATTACATAAAAGATTAATTACGATATGAATATGAATTAAGAAATTTTCGTTAGTTTGAGGACTACTATCTTTGGACAACGGAATTTGACCGATGAAATTTCGAATTAAATTAAAGTTCAATAATTTAATTAAGACAATTAGAAATTTAGTCCCAATTTGTCTTCTATTCTTTCAAAGAAAAAATTTTTACGTACTCATTTTCAATCATATTTAAATAATAAAATATTTTATACGTAAATTCAAAATTTTTGTCTGCTTGCCTACTTCCTTGTGTTGTACACTTTAATTAGAACGAGCTTTGTTATTATACACTGATTTTTGACACTTGCATTGTTGTTAAGTGTGAATTGAATGAAAAAACTGTTTGAAATTTAAACTATCTAATAATTTAATGTCTCATGACAAAATATAAATTAAAATGTACACCATAATGTACATGTAATAACGCTCAATTAGAACCACTGCTTTTAGAGCGACTTTCCCTCCCTAGGGGAAGGCTGGAGGAAGGTCTTGCTTACTAGCTAAGTCATTCGATTGATTTTTCCTGAAAATTGCAGGAATCTAAAAAGTTTCTCGGGTCTATGCAAAGTCAGCGACCAAATATTCTGCACTCTGATAAACCCATATTTTATAATTCTGAAAAATGGCAGACCTGAAAGTCGTTACTAATCACATCAATGAAAATGACAACGATGATGCAAGTGATTCAGAATCAGAGCTTCCATGGAAGAAGAGATTTAAGATGGCTCCAACTTCAAGAAGGAAACTTCTGGTGCTTTGTCTTGGTGGACTCCTGGTAAACAGGGTGTACATAAGGCATCGGAGAAGTGCTCCCGCTCCACCATTAAACCCTGATGTGTATACTGGCAGTTTTGCAGGTAAAAATTTACCTTTTTTCCAGTTTATTCATATATTTTCGATTAATTTTGTGTTGGGTTTCTAATTTTCTTCCTTCCAACACAGTTTTCAAGAGGCCCTTCTGTACTGATTTTATAAAATTTTGCTTTGAACGATTTGAATTGGGTATATGGTCTGCTACTGTAGAGTAAGTGATATTTACTTATTATAGTATGATTTTGAGTTTCTTTTTTTTCTTATGTGATCACTGTTGTTGAAATGTATAGATGTAATACAGAAGCTGTTTTAAAGTGTATCGGTGGTTCTGAAATGAAAACGAAGTTAGCATTTGTATGGGTAAGTCTGATTTCTTGAAAATGCCACAATTTTTACAGTATACCATAATTAAGAAAGCAAGGCATAATGAAAAAAGATGTCCTGACTTTGTTAAATCTGTTCATTAGGGTCGAGAAGAATGTATAGATTCTGGAATAGCATGTCAAAGAAATAGTCAAAAGCCTCTGTTTCTGAAGGATTTGAGGCGAGTGTGGGAAAAGAAATACCTTGATCTTCCCTGGCGTAGGGGACAATATTCACAGTCGAATACATTGTTGATTTGTGTTGATCCTCCCACTTCCCTGCTGAATCCTGTAACTAAACCATTCTAGAAATTTACAGTTTCAACTAACTAGTTTAATCCCAGTTATTCTTTAAGATAATTGCTTCTTCTTTCGTTTTCAAATGCAGCCTAATACCGCTATATTTCCCCAACCATACAAAAGCCACGACATGGAAGATACGTTTTTAGGTGATCAGTTAGAATCAGCTTAAGAATTGGTTTTGTTAGCATGTATATATTTTGGCAGGCTGCCTCTGATTTTCCGTGTGGATGTGTTAGGCCCGGATGGTGAGTTGCGGGGCTATCTGGAGAGAATCGCAGATGTTGATAATGTTCCATCTTATGTAAAAGAGCATCCATTCGGACAGCCTGCAATAACACCTTCACATCCCGACTGGAATTACTACGCCAAGATTGTTCATGAGTTTCAAAAGGAAGACAATGAGAAGTACCAGCAAATGAAAAGTATAGATTTGGTTTGAAGCCACCTAGAAAGACATTGTGAATAGTATGTGTGATTCAATTTCGTATCATGTTCAATTGAAATTAATCTTCTGCTCCCAAGTGGTCAGTATAAAAACTTCCCACTACTGAATAGCAAGAGAACCTCACTGGGTTATCTTATTCAATCAATTCCCGAATTTGTTAACCTTTTTCTGAAACTTTTTCATTGTTCACAAGATGGGTTGTATAAAATAATGTTTGCACATGTACATTTTCTCTGGCATATTTTATTAGTGGGAAAATATAGTAAATGGAAAAGTTGAACTTCATTCAAGTTTATTGGCCTTTAGTGGAGAGTACTTTAGAACATTTATTAAGCAGGGAAATATGAAGATCGAAATGAAAAATGAAAAAGCAGAATAATAAAGTGAGATCTTGAAAAATTCATAGTACTAGGAAAACAAAATGATGGATTGTTAGGATCGAGCAACGGGATCATAACAATGTGGATCCTAACAATTCTACAATTTTAATATCCCGCTCTGAATAGTTAGATTATTTTTGGGATCGTGGAATCGTAAAATCTAAAATAAGTTCTCTAAGATCGAATTTATCCCTCTACATGTAATTTTGAGCAAATGTGTGCTAAGATTTGGCCTCCAAGATTCGACAATCTATGAAATGCTAAAGGTGCATTTTTTACAGCAGGTCGAGACGAACTTTCGTAAATATCCATTGAATGATGCATCCTGATTGGAAAATGAGGCAGTGGGGTCCACTGCTAAAGCACACATAGTGCACTACTTTTCATACAAGCAATAATTTTAGGACATAAGAATATTATGATTACAATTGATAATTTTTATGACTTCTAATCCAATTCCCTTTCTCTTATAGCTCCTGTTTGGTAGAAACTTTTCATCTCAAAAAATTGATTTTTTTATCGTTATTTTACTATTTTAATTGTCATTTTTGACTTATTCACTCATAAGTGAGACCCACTTTTATCTGTAACGGTCAAAAAATCAATCTTATAATCACTACCGAGTACCAAACAGGCCCATGCTGGGAATCCTATCAACATGGCAAATTAACATAATGTTCCACAGTTCACCAGCCTCAAACATAATTATGTGGTCCTTGCAAAGTATATTCAAGATTGATTGTGGTCGGCAGAGCTCAAAGTTGATTGAGGCCCCGTTTGTTTTCCATTGATGTAAGAATGAGAATGAAGAATATAGTTATTACGGGTCTCACACAAGAGATAAAAATTCAAATATGATAGCTTGATGTGATCGATAACGGTCATATTTTTCATTTTAATGGCCAAATAATGAAAAACAAACAGAGACTGAATATGCTAACAGATTATCAATAAATAATATAATAACAAACTCATAGAATAAAATATTTATAAACTATTACCGTTATCATATATATATATATATATATATATATATATATATATACACACACACACACACACACATACGAGGGATGACTTTACATGGACCAGAGAATTCTTTTCGAGGCTGGGGAACTGTTGAACTTTTTTGTTTTTAATTTTCCAAATTGTTACTGTTGAGAATTGTTACAAGCTGTGGTCGGCTTTAATTAATTAGCCCATTGATGGAGATTAAAATTAAATTTTTAGCAAATTTTGATAAAAATTACTCAGTTTAATTGAAAATTACACCAATTAGATGTCAAAACAACTTTTTCTAAATGGAGACTTATATGAAAACATTTATATGAAACTACCTGAATATTTTCAAAAATTTAAGAATTCTAATAATTTTATCTTCTTAAGAAATTCTTGTACGGTTTAAAACAAGTCCCAAGATAATTCGACTCCTTCATTTTTGGACTTGGTCTCAAACGCAGTAATTCTGATAATATCTATATCGTAGAGGAAATGGAAGAAGTAATTCTCTCTATTTACTTTTATACGTAGATGACATGCTTTTAGCAATTCATGGTATAAGGAAAATTCAATTGACAAAAAAGACAAGCTAAACTCTGAGTTTGAAATAAAGGACTTGGGTCTTGGTAGGAAAACTTCGGGATGGAAATGAATAGGAACAAGAGAGAGATGTTAGATTTCATTTTATTAGAGATGTTACTCCGCAAGAAATTGTTAAACTTGAATAGATTTCTACTCATTTTAATCCTACAAATATTGCTACCAAAGTGTCGCCTATCAGAAAATTCTTGGATTGCTTGAGTTAGCTCAATATTATTTTCAGGTAAGAGAGCTGTGAACTGGAACCATTGTACAAAGGTGGAGATTGTTGAGAGTTGTTACAAATGGTTAAGTCGTATTTCTTGGAAACACAATTTTACTAAAGTAATGGATTGTTAAGATATTGTCGAGTCTCACCTCCTACACCGTTGGATGTGAAGACCTTCTGGTTGCTTCTATCTAATGTTTATGTTGATTGACTTATGGTAAATTCAATTGGCATTACTTTTGTTCATGGGATTTCTGAAAATCTCTCTCTCTCTCCTTCGAAGATTCTTCATTTTCGTCTTTTAGATTTTGTTCTTGAGTGATTAGCATTTACTACTCTAAAGTGAATATTATGAAAATCTAGAGAGGATCTGGTTCGTTATGTTCTTAAGTGAACAATAATTGTGTAAGACTGTAATCTTGAGTGATTTCATTTGACTTTTGACGTTTATGATCTTCGATGATTTGGTTTTGTTCTAGTGCAGTGGATTTCTTTCGGCAACAGAAACTGAAAAGGGGATTAGGAACTTTGCTCTGAACATCCTTTCTTAGGGCGAAAGTACTCGTCTTATTATTATTATTTTCTCTACATTTCTGCTTTATTTTTGTTGATAAAACTAAACTTACATTTTCTATGAAACCTGGACGTTACAATTAGAATCCAAGTATGAGAAAGGGAATTGGATGGCTATTCGTCGCCACTCCAACTATTACTTCAAAAGTGCTATTAATTATGTATTGTAGTTTAGGTACTAAATATTTGTACATCTATGACGTTAACTACTCAAAGAGTATTGTATAAGAAAAAGCTCTAAAAATTTATCAATTGTAATCATAATATTCTTAGAGCCCGTTTGGCATAGTTTTTGAGGAGTAAAATGAGCTTTTAAGATCCAAAATTTATTTTTGGATTCGTTTAGCTAATTTTATGAAAGTGAATCTTCTAGTTATAAGTATTGTTAAAGCAAACTAGTCCAATACGCCTTTTTTCTAAAAGCATTACGGAATAGGAAGCACTTTCAAAAATTAGCCTTTGTTTGTCAATCATTCTACCACATTATTTTTTTTTACAGTACTCATTTTCAATCACACATTTTTCATTAAAATAATATCACATATAAATAAAAAACTTTTACTTTATTTTTAACCACACGTTTCAACATCAATCACTATTCAATAATATACTTTCTGAAATTAAAGGAGCACAAACAAGCCCTTAGTTTCTAAACAAAATTTAAGCCTCCATTTGACTTCTATTATTTGAATTTATAATGAGGATAATAGTATTTTTTTTTTTAAATATTGTGTGGTTGAAAAGTTTTCGATTTGGGTGTAATATTATTTTATTAAGGATTGTGTGGTTGAAAGTTAGAGAGGGAAAAAATTAAATTAAATTACATGTAGAGGGAGAAATTTGATCTCAGGGGTAATCAGTTATCGTATTTCCATGGATTATGTGTAATTTTCGATCAATTACCAAGAAATTATTTTAGATCTTACAATTTTACGATCTCAAAAATAATATAACTATCCGAAATGGGATATTAAAAATGTAGAATAGTTAGGATCCAAACTATTATGATCCCATTGCTCGATCCTAACAATTCTTGATTTTTTTTCCATCATCATGAACTTTTCAGTACTGCACTTTATTATTCTACTTTTTCATTATCATCTTTATTCCCCTCTTAGTAAATGTCGTAAAGTACTCCACTAAAGGGCCAATGAACTTGAATGAATTTCAACTTTTTTATTAACTATACTTTTCCATTAATACTATGATATTTCTTCATATCAAAGATAACAAGCGGAAATACAAATGTGTTCACATAATTATAAGTAATTACTTCTCATTTACTACTACTTTTATCTTCTTCTTCCTTGCCAAATTCACGTACTATCTTGGCAAGTTTTAATTTTTACAACTCAACGTGCAAACAACAAAATATGTTTCCAAAGAGGTTAACGAGTTCAGAAATTGAATCACACAAACTATTCAATGTCATTCTAGGTGGCTTCAAACCAAATCTAAACTTACATCATTTGCTAGTACGTTTATCATCTTCCTTGCCAAACTCATGAACAATCTTGGCGTAGTAATTCCAGTCAGGATGTGAAGGTGTTATTGCAGGCTGTCCGAAAGGATGCTCTTTTACATAAGATGGAACATTATCGACATCTGCAAGTCTCTCCAGATAGCCCCGCAACTCACCATTCTCACCTAAACACATCCACAGGGAAAATCAGATGCTGCCTGCCAAAAGATATACATACTAAAGAAACCAATTCTTAATCTGATTCTAACTGATCACCTAGAAATATATCTTCAATGTTGTGCCTTTTGTATGGTTGGGGAAATATTGCGGTATTAGGCTGCATTTGAAAACGAAAGAAGAAGCAATCATCTTAAAGGATAACTGGGATTAGTTTGTTGAAACTGTAAATTCCTAGAATGGTTTAGTTACAGGATTCAGCAGGGATGTGGGAGGATCAACACAAATCAACAAGGTATTTGACCATGAATATTGTCCCTTACGCCAGGGAAGATCAAGGTATTTCTTATCCCAGAGTCGCGTCAAATCCTTCAGAAACAGAGGCTTTTGCCTCTTTTTTAGGCATGCCATTCCAGAATCTATACATTCTTCTTGACCCTAATAAACAGATTTAACAAAGTCAGGTCATCTTTTTTCATTAGGCCATGGTTTCTCTTACACTTGTAAATATGGAATTTCATCTAAAAATTTTCAAGAAATCAGATTTACCCATACAAATGCCAACTTCTTTTTCATTTCAGAACCAGCGACACAGTCCAAAATAGCTTCTGTGTTACTTCTATACATTTCAACAACAGTGATCACATAACAGATAAATCGAACACAATACACAAGAAAAAAAAGAAACCGAAAATCATAATATCAAGTAAATGTCACTTACTCTACAGTGGCAGACCATATACCCACTTCAAATCGTTCAAAGCAAAATTTTATAAACTCAGTACAAAAGGGCCTCTTGAAAACTGTGTTGGAAGGATGAAAATTAGAAACCCAACACAAAATTAATCGAAAATATTTTCATAAACAGGATAAAAAGGAGTAAATTTTTACCTACAAATTTGCCATTACGCAGATCAGGTTTTATCCCTTCAACCTTTGTCCAATACTTCATGTGCACCCTGTTTACCAGTAGTCCACCGAGACAAAGCACAAGAAGTTTCCTTTTTGGACCCAGCTTTAATTTCTCCAATGGAAGCTCTGAATCATTTGCATCATCCTTTTCATTTTTATTGCTGTGATTAGTAACCACATTTTCAAATTTCGGGTCTGATGATTCATCTGCCATTTTCAGATTTCAAATTTGAAATAAAACAAGGGTTTATGAAAGTGCAGATTATATGGTCGCCAACTACGCGTACACTCAAGAAACTTTTAGCTCCATTGTCCCTATTCAGTAGAAATTAGGGATAAATTCGCCGGTGACCATTCAGCTTTATCAATATTTAAATTAAAATTAAATAATCAATATTAATCAGATTTATGAATTTCATGTCTTTTCAATCACACATATTTTATCAAAATTTATTAAAATCTAATTTTAATCTCCACTAAACAAGAGTTAGTATCATCATCATCTAATTTGATTTTATTTCATTATTTTATTTTATACTTAATGTCACTATGATTATCTAATTTCATATAACATTTCACCATAACTACCTAATTTCATGTAAGATTTCACCATGAATATCCTACTTATTACCATTTTCAATAATTTTAAAAATGATAAAATGATAACTTTGCATTATATAAAAAAGTTGGCTCGATGAGGAGCAAGAAAACCAATAATATCTTTATTGTTTTAAAAACCAAAAATTAAAGTTTTTTTTTTAATTTTAAATACCTTTTAAAAAATTTATTTTTATTTCATTTTTCTAAGTAACCTTTTTTTTTTAATTTTTTTATTTTATTTAAAAAACATTTATTTTCAAATAAATTTTTATTTTATTTAATTTTCTTAAGGAATGTTTTTTTAAATAACTTTTTATTTTTCAAGGTAAAGTTTTTATTTTATTTTATTTTCGAGTAACCTTTTTAAAAAAATAAGTTTTTATTTTATTTTAGTTTTCTAAGTAAAGCTTATTTAAATAAGTTTTTATTTTATTTTTTAAAATATTTTTTATTTTATTTTATATATAAGCAAAATTACTAGTTTTCCCCTTTTAAAATTAATGAAAAATGATGAAAAGAAATTGGGTGACCATATTGAAATGTTATATGAAATTAGGCAGCTATGGTGAAACTTTATATGAAATTGTGTGGTTATGATGACACTAAACTCTCATTTGTTTCCTATTTTTTGCACATTAAAATGAAAAACATGATCGTTATTCATCACATCAAACCACCATATTTGACTTTCTATATCTCGTGTAGGGCCCTAACATCTATATTTTTTATTCTCATTTTTACATTAACGTGTATCAAACGAGGCCTAAGTATAAAGTTTGGCAGCCATAGTAAAACAAAATCAAATTGGGTATTCATGATTTTACTAAGTATAAAATTGAGTAGTCATTGATTGATTTAATCCGTAGATATTAACTCTTGTTTGATCTTTATTATTTTCAAAATACATTTTTCATTTTTATTCTTTTCAATCACGTATTCTTTAACTAGAATAATATTATATTCTAACTCAAAACTTTCTTATTTTTTAACCACATATTTTTCATCAATCTATCGTTCCAAAATGCAATATTAGCCAAAAAATAGAACTCGAGCAGTTTAGATTTAAATTTAATTCAAAGTCAGTAATTAATTTTAACTATATAATTTATAAAATTCACACTTTTTAAATTACATATTTCATTAATTTTTATCAAAACCTACTAAAACTTCGATTTTAATCCTCACCAAACAGGATAATTAACTTGACGGTTTAATATCATACATGTCACTAATTAAGCTTTAAGCAAAATCTCAATCGGACAGTAAAATTTAAAATTGTCTTGATTTACATAGTTGGTATTCACTATTCACATCGTAATTTTTCTTCTATATAATAGCTATGGGCACCATGGAAATGAAAGTAGTTGAAATTATTTCGCAACTAGATATATTGATGAATAGAGTATCAAACCAACTAGAACAAATATCAACATACTTTAATGAAAATTAGTACTAATTTAAACACGTGAAATTAATGATTTAGAGTTTGATTTTGGATTATTCTAATTATCTACTAAAATAAACAATTAAAAATAAGCAAATTTTGGAGTTCAATCAAATCACAAAAATTACTAAGATCGTCGATCCATCATTGTTACTCTACTTATAATTTTAATAATACGAGTAATATACCGAGTTTAAGATATATGGAATCAAGTCTCGACCATCCCATCTGAAAATTAATGATGTCCAAAAAAAAAAAAAAAATTAATATTCATGACATTCAACTGCTATTATTTGATTGACCCAACCTCTAAATTCAAAATCGATATTATTTCTCTTCAATAATATTTAGTTAAAATTAGTGTTTTAAGTACACACCAAACGGAAGGAAGAAAATAGATTGATGTCCAAAGGGGTATATTATTTGGGACATAAAATGGAAAAACGAGTTAGCTAAGTGATGGTAAAGAAACGCCATTTACGGAGCTGTGTCAATTCCAGAAGAACCTAACGCTCCCCAGAGTAGTGATGGATGGTTAGGAAACTGATGACGAAGTGCTAGCTACTAAAGAAGGAGAATCTTGCTTCTCGGACATCATCGGAGCTTCAGATCGATCGAAATGGTGGAGGACAAAAAATGTATGTCAGGTGACATGGAGAAATTTGACGGGAATATCAATTTTGACTTGTGGAAAATTATGTTTTGATTTGGTTTGGATGACACATGAATTTAGAGAAAAGATTAAACCCCTATTTTCGACAAAAGTGAATGATGTGGACACCTTAAGAAAATTGTCCAAAATAAAGCAAATTCCACATTGTCATTAACGATGCGTCTCTTGTCGTCGTGAGAGACAGTGATATTCTTTCGAAAGAATTTGTTCGTCCTTATGATATATGTTTGACGAACAAATTGTCAAGATAAATAATGTGTTATTGTTAGTGGATCCGCAATTTTACAAACATGTGTTGGTTTAGCATTGATACAAGATGTGTTGTAGAATTTATTTCGATGAATGATGAACTCCTGGGAAAGCCAAACACGGGGGTTGGACCATAATTTTCAGCAAGATTGTTTGACATGAGGCAATTTGAAATTTTTAGAATGTGTTGATTCTAATGCCCCGTTTGAGTCAGAATAAAAAATATAACTATTATGAACCCCACATAAAGATAAAAAGTAAAATATGGTGGTTTGATGTGATAGATAAGATCAAAATTTTCATTTTAATAAGGAAATAATGGGGCTCAAACTGAGCCTAAGTGTGTATATTATTTAGGGTGAAACATGGTAATTCTTTGTTTTTAGAATTGTGACTAAAAGAAAAGATTCATTAAGGGCCTGTTTGAACCACGTTATTTTAAAAAAATGCATTCTTAAATAGTGATTTGACATCATTTCAACCACACATTTTTCAATAAAATAATATTACACGCAAATAAAAAACTTTTCTTTATTTTTTAATCACACATTTTTCATCAATACACTATTTAAGAATGCATTATTACCAAAATAATATGGCTCAAACACCCTCTAAGATTTCCCAAGTGGCTTGACAAAGAAGACAAAATATATTGGACCAGACACAGGTACAATTACTCAACTTCTAGGGGATATGAAAAAATTCCTATTTGAGGTCTTAGACAATTCAAAGTTAGAAATCGTTAGAATTTTTGACTTCTTGTTTTCCTACATAGAAATTGAATTTTTATTGTTTATTTCTTTTATATGTTATGGAGTAATTGATTATCTCCTCCTATAGATATGATCCTTCCTATTATAACTTTATTTTTTTTTCAATTTGAAGATAATTATGATTATCTTTGGCTGAGATTTGGGGATCATTTGAAATCTCGTCCATCATATATAGAAGATCTTACGCCCCATACGCTCGAGCAAACCCAAGAATAATTCACATAGTATGACTGGTGGATCCTTTAAAATCTCATGTGATATGATTTTTTTTTTTTTTTTTTTTTAAGGTTTCCTTGCAGTTTGGGCGTGTGAGAGATTCTATACGATTGTATAATTTTTTATGCAATGAAATGTCTCTATCTTTGTATTATATTTCTCCGATTTGAATGTTTTTTGCATAAATCTTTCTATTATTTTTCTATAACTTTTTTATATTTTTCTAATTTCTAAATAAATTCTTTGAACGAAGATTAATGCGGGGAAATCGAGGAATTGGTCTCAATTGGCAATAAGGCCCTATTTGATATCATTGATTTTTCATGGATTTCCATCAAAATGTCATGTTTGATAGCAATTTTTTTGGGTATCACTATTTCCATTCACACTTTTTATAAGTACATTCACTTTTGAAAAAAAAAATTATTATATTTTAAATCCTATGTAAATTTACTTAAATAGACATAAACAAAATTAAATAAAAATACAAAACTCTAAATTGATCCACTAATTTTTACTTTCATTAAATTATCCTAAATCTTTTTTTATTCTTTTAGAATTTGAGTTTAACTAGAATCCTAATAGATTAAGAAAAATTACATGAACATAATTAGAGAAAATTAGGCAATACTCTAAAGAATTGACTAATTTGATCACTACTCTATTAACTGATGAAATCATATAATTAGTGTAATTAAAACATTCTAGAATTACAACGCCACCCAAAACCCAAATAAATAGTTTCTATTCCAGAAAGCTATGAGAGAAAGATTCTCCTCACCTACTACTTCACTTCTTTTCACCACATTCTAGAATTGCACTGTGTTTTTCCTATTTGCCCTGGAAGGGGAGGTGGAGCGCCACACTTATGAAAAGTGCAAGTATGAGCTTGTTATGGAGAGAATGCTCCAGATACAGAAGATCCATGAGCAAGAAGCCAAGATGAAAGGTTTTGAGAAAGGCCAATTGCCCATTCCTCTCATCCCCAAAACAGCCGATGATTGACTCTGAAAGATTCTGTTAATCAAAACAATGCATCACTTGGAACTTCGTTGAATTCAAGTTCTTCAATACTTGGATGTTTATGGAAATTTTCAGGAAGAAACTAAACTATGGGCAGTGGTAGTCATCGGATGACTTAATTTGAAATTGTTTTGGTGTTATGTAAACATGATTACTAAAATACTCTCACTTTCCCCTGATAATCTAGTTCCAAATACATTTTACACATTTAATGTCTGTTTTACTATATGTTTTCTAAAAAAAACTATTGGTGTTTTTTATTCTTCACAAGTGATTATTAGTTTAACTTTTATGTATATTTATGATAAATTCATAACTTTGTCAAGACTAGATAATGTCATTACTCATATGATGAATGATGCGTTGTGAATATTTGCATTCTAGTACGAATTTTCCTTATAACTTTTAAAAAATAAAAAAAAATAAAAAATGAATCATAGTGTTAGGGATGTATTTAAAATGAAATGAATATATAAAATTTATGTGGATATATGTTATTTAAATGAATGAATTTAGTAAGGACAAGATTGGAATATAACGTGGATGTAAATAGTACTTTTTAAAATTTTTATGAAGGATGAACTTAGAGTGGGATATACTTATAAAAAGTGTAAATGAAAATAACGCTACCATTTAATTTTTGTAGTATTATTATTAATATTTTTAATAATATAATCCAACTTTTGTATATAAAAACTTTAAATTTGATTTTTGAAGTTGAATCTTGAAATTTTTTATTGGGTGTAATTTCCACATGATATAATATATTTTATATATTATTTGATAATTTATTACGCAATTTTTTTCATTTTGAAACTTGTATTATACTTTACTCATAAATTTCAAATAATAAATAATATTAGATAATAATATAATATTGTTACTTGAAATATTTGAAGAGATTAAATTTTTATTAATCAAAATAAGCTGAAAATAATAATTTATTTATTTTATCATAAATTAAACAACCAAAGGAACCAACAGTTGGAATTAATTTCATTATTTTCCGACTTTTCACTTCTCATATCAGATACTCACTAGAATATCATAAAATTTACAATCTATAAATAGGTGGACTAAGAATGGGGTAAAAAGATAATTTAACCTTTTAATTCTTATCCTAGAAATTAACTAATATAAAAATTTTATCTTTCAATTTTTTCAATTTCAGATCGGGTTATCGAATCGAATATCCGATAACATAACAATCGGATATGGATTTAACAATCAGATATTATTAGATTATCGGATATGATCGGATAATTATTCTTAACGGATTGGATCGAATCGAATTTGGGCAAATCCAATCCATATTTGATCCATTTATAGCTCTAATAACGATGTTAGAACACCAATTTAAGTTATCACACTTGATAGATTCAATTAAATGAATCATTTTCTATTACATTTAAATGAATATATCATTTAATGTCATGCAATTGACATCTAGACTAACATTAGTACTATTGAATTGCATTACTCATTCGAAATAGATTGCCACTAAGAGAATGTTTATCAAAGTTCAAATCATATTTAAGTTAATTAAATATTTTTAGTCCTGAAATTCATAACCTACTATCTACACATTTTATAAAACTTACGACTTAGTAGATGTGACAATTGAACCTCATATTCAAACTCAGCGGTGCCACGGCTGCGAGACTATTTTGGATAGGATTAGCGGTCCCATTCTGTTTGTTAGTTAATTATTTGTTTACATTCAATTCAATCCATCTTTTTTATGTTGAAATCCCGACTTAAATAGCAAATACTTAAAATATCCTAAAATTTACAGAAAAAATAAAATGAAATATATAAATAGAGTGCCAACCCCACCCCTTCCCTATCTCCTCTTCGCTCTGTCTTAAGTGTCGATCAGGACGATGATGGGGTAGTAAAATTCTTGACATCCCTATATATATCAAATGTTCGATTATATATATATATATATTTTTTTTTTTTATTTTTTATTTTTTGGTTGATTAAATTTTTTTAGACTAATTCATTTATTTAAAGAAATTTTTAGATTAATTTATTTATTTACTGCATGTCTTGCAACAATGGCGAACGCAGACATTTTACGTTAATGGAGCACAATTGAACTTGCAAAAAATACAGATTTACATTTATACCTATACTACCATGTTTGCCATCCTTTTTATCTCCAACATCATTTTCATTTCTTTTATCTCGAATATTCCTTTTATTAACATTGTGATTATAAAAAAAAATGCATATTTACGTTTAAATTATTTTCCCATCACAATTAACTCAAGTGAAAAATACAAAAATCACAGCAATTCTAAATGTTAAATTATCATATGCATTAAACAAAGACAAAAAATCACAGTAAGAATCTATTACCACTAAATCACCGAAACAATATAGAAATTGGAGCACTTAAATGAATCTCTAATTCCATTTCATAAGAAAATAACAAAGAAATAATATCCCAAAAAATGAGGCATAATGAATGAATCTTTCACGTTCTTTAAAAAATTAAAACTTCATTCAAAGTTTTAGATTTTCTGGGCTAGAATTTTTCTGTTTCAAATCTAATTTCCCTTTAAAAATAAAATAAAAATAAAAAATGTTTGCAAGACACCGGCAGACCCACAATGGGTCATCGTGGGTCACTTGACCAACTAACTTAAAATTGATTTTTTTTTATAATTATTATAAAGGGAAATAAGATTTGAAACAGAAGAATTCCAGCCCAGAAAATTTGAAAACTTTGAATGAAGTTTTAATTTTTTAAAGAACGTGAAAGATTCATTCATCAAAAGTTATACCTATCATTTTTCGAGAAATTATTTCTTTTGTATTTTCTTATGAAATGAAATTAGAGATCCATTTAAGTGCTCCAATTTCTATATTGTTTTGGCGATTTAATGGTAATGAATTCTTGCTGTGATTTTTGCTAATACCGATTCCATCCGAGCTCTCTTATTGAATTGCTCATTCAATGAGCATTCTCAATATTATGCATTTTCGGATGGTAAATATTTCTCAGAACATGGAGTGTGAATCAAACCCATGTTTGAATTGAAATTGAAATACTAATGCAAGTTCTTCCCTTCTAAATCAGATAGATTCATATCTGAAAGTCTTTGTGTTGGACTGTAATGCATTTGATAATTTAACATTCAAAATTGCTGTGATTTTTGTATTTTTCGTTTGAATTAATTGTGATGAAAAAATAATTTTATACTAAATATGTGTTTTTTTTAATCACAATAATGAAAGGAATATTTGAGATAAAAGAGATGAAAATGATGTTGGAGATAAAAAGGATGACAAACATAGTGGTATTTGTATAAACGTAAATCTTTATTTTTTACAAGTTCAATTGTGCCCCATTAATTCAAAATGTCTGCGTTCGTCATTGTTGCAAGACATGTAGTAAATAAATGAATTAGTCTAATCTTATATAGTAACTTATTCTGCAATATCGTAATTTAGCTTTTGCATTGTTCAATATATGCCTTCCCCGGATGTTCTATAACATTGACCAGCCCTAGACTTAGGTAGCATGGGCTACTGTTTAGGGCCCGAAATATGCCCCCAAAAACTTGGGCCCATTTTTATTATTTTTGAAGCAGGTTCGGAGACTTTTATGATAAAACAATACACAGTTTCTAAATATAATCATCACATTTCAAAATTAATAAACTTGTTAAATTATTTCAAAATTCAGATGTTAATTTAAATTAATAATATATATAATATATAATTAATTGAAAATTTGAAACCAATNCTTTTCCATGGTTTTAAGGTATTGGAATTCTTTGGTTTTGGTGGGGAAATGGTTTTCTACCTTTTTTTAAAAAATTTCAGCAATGGGAACAAAATTTATCAACAATTGTAAAAAAAATTATTCCTTTAATTAACAATTTTCACAAAAAATGATCAAACAAATACAAAAAGATTCAAAATTTCAACATTTTTCATGTCAAAAATTATATCAATCAAACACATTTAATGACAATACTCATGAAATCAAGTTCTATGCAATTCACATATGACCGGTAACAATGGCAATTTTTTGTTATGAGAATTTTGGTATAATAGAGAAGTTTCATCGAAACTTCTCAAGTGACGTGTTAAAGAAGATAAAAGAGATGGGACAGAACCACATGTACGTTATTCAACTTTGAGGAGACATGGAAAATTTCTTTTGGAGGTATTAGAGAATCCAAAGTTAAGGTGAACATCGTTATGCTTTTTGACTTGGTCTTCTCCTAAATAAAATAGGATGATTTCTTTTTCTTTTCTTTTTTTTGGTTCCTTAGCAGAATAGAATTGAATTTATCTAGTGGTACATAATAGGGTATATCGAATGATATACACCCCACTTACATGGGTGTGGGACCCATGTGAAAGAAAAAATATTTTATTCGAGTGGGTCCCTCTTCCATGTGAGTGAGGTGTACATCATTAGGTACACCCCGATGTACCACTAGCAAAATCGAATAGAATTTGTGTTGTTCCATGTATTATATGTGTGATTTTTTTATTTTTTTATTATTTTTTTTTGTTTCCTACTTGAAATAGCATTAATTAACCATTTCTTAAACCTCTATTGTATTTGATTTATTCGTATTTTAAGATAGTCATACACTATCTTGGGATAAAACTGGGAGATCATTTGAAATCTCATCCTATTTGCTTTGAATTATAAGCTAAGCCAAACATGCTAGGCCGAGGCAAACAATGCAAGTTATAAAGTGATTACTATATTTTCAAAAACAGCCAATTCAAATACAAAAAGCATTAATATGTTGCATTACATGTTTATTTTGATATTGTCTTCATTAGCAACTTCTTTATATAGATTTGATCTCATTTACTAGCACTTTCAGCACTCTCTTCTTCCTTGCCAAAATGGCGAACGATCTTCGAATAGTAATTCCAGTCGGGATGTGATGGTGTTATAGGAGACTGTCCAATTCGATGCTCTTTCACATAAGTACGAACATCATCGGCGTCAGCAAGTCCTTCCAAAAAGCCTCGTAATTCACCGTTCGGACCTAAAAATTCCGACTGAAAATCAGAACTAGCAAGCCAAACTTACTAAAACCAAGTTGTAAATCTAACTCTTATCTCACCTAAAAATGTATCTTTGACGTCGTGCTTTTTGTACGGTTGGGGAAATATTGCTGTATCGGTCTGCATGTAACAGAAGAATAAGAAAATAACTTCAATGACAATTAATTTATCGAAACTGAAATTCGTGAAATGATTATGTACTTACAGGATTCAGCAGGCATGTATGGGGTTCATCGTCGATCAACAACGTATTTGACGATGAATATTGTCCCTTTTCCCACGGAAGACTATGGTATTTCTTCTCCCAGAGATCCTTCAATTCCTTCAGAAATAGAGGCTTCTCCTCCTTCCTTAGGCAGTAAAATCCAGATTCTGTGCGTTCATCTTGACCCTATGAAACAAATATAAGACTTAATCTTTTGATAAGGTAAACTGTACAGTACTGAACAATATTAAGAACGGAAAAATGAGCTAAAATCCCATCCATTATATCGTTGAATAGTATTTCCTAATATGCGTACGAAACACCAAACGTGTAACATACTTAATTACTGATTCCAATGTTTATGAAGAAATCAAACTCACCCATACAAAAGCTAACTTGCTTCTCATTCCAGGTCCAGTGACACAGCTCAAAGCAGCATCAATATTACGGCTATTCATTTCAACATCAGTGATCATATAACACAAAAATTTTACATGAATAGTAATCCAAAATAAAAGGTAATAAGTTGCACTTACTTTCTAGCAGACGACCATACGCCCACCTCAAATCGTTCGAAGCAAAATTTTATGAAGTCAGTACAAAAAGGCCTCTTGAAAACTGTTTCGAAGTGATAAAAATTATAAACCCGCCCGAAAATTAATCGAAAAACTACAAAAAAAAGTAGTAAATTTATCGTCTTTACCTAGAAGTTTATTGTAGGCGACATCAGCTTTCAATCCACGAACAGTGTGACTATCCCTAACGTGCACTCTGTGCACCAGTAATCCGCCAAGGCAAAGCACAAGAAGTTTCTTTTTAGGACCCAATTTTAATTTCTCCAAACGAAGGTCCAATTCACTTTCAACAACATTTTCATCTTCACTGCTATCATCAGGAGCCACATTTTTTAACTTGAGTTTATCTGCCATTTCTCGAATACGATGTGTTACAAAATTAAGGTTAAGTAGACATTATATAGACTAGAAGAAGTTTGAAAGTCGAACATTATATAGACTAGAAGAAGTTTGAAAGTCGACATTATATAGACTAGCTTTGTTTCTTTAATTATGCGAAATGGTTGGAATTCTTGTATCAAAAACGAAATTTGAAGGGCCATTTCAATTTTATTAGTAAATTTTATATGCTTTTTTCTTCTTCTTCTTTTGTTTTTTTTTTTTTTTTTGGACACAAAAATTTCTAATAAAATTGTTATTATTTTATATGGGTTATAAATTATAATACTATATTTTCATTTTGATTATTTTTACATCCAAAAAAATATATATATACACACAAAAAAAAATTCAATTATTTCAATAATACCTTCAATTATTTCAATAATACTTTACCTTTCGTTTTTCCATACGTAATAAATATTACATAGTTATTGTCATTTATGAAATTTGTGTTATAAATTCTCAAATAATTACATTCACATTAACCTAGTTTCAATGAATTTTCATTTGATAAATCACGATTACATAAATCCAAAATTATTATAGATGAATTTATTCATATTCATGTATCTAGAAATTTTAATGAGCGTTAATCTATGTATTAACAATTAATTTTTATGTATCAAATGTAATATAAAAATAATAAACATTAATGAAAAAATTGATTTTTTTAAAAATAAAACGAGTTATACGCTTCTTTTTAACACACGTGTTTGACGTAAGTTTAATTATTTTAGATATTCATTTAGATAATTCGATATGTCTATAATATAGTTCTTGAAACGAGCTTCGAGAGGATATAGAAAATTTACTTATTTGACTACAGTATGATCGTTGAAAAATTTTTAAAGTTAGCTCGTTTCTGAAAATCTAGAAATATTAATTTGGAACAGTCTACTTTGACGCGCTATAACAATTGCTACAAATGGCTGTTTCGTGCAAGATTAACAACCTGAAAAATTAGGCCGTGAGTATTTCAAAATGATATTAAGAATGTAATATTTCGACTTCATTTGATAACCTGGAGTGACCACGAAAATTAAGACAAAAACATAAGAAATTTAATGAATTTATTCATATTTTTCTCCAAGTTAACCGTCCTTTCCTTTTACTTTTCACGATACGTCACCCTCTTTTGAATTTCTGTACAGTTACTATGAACCACGTTCTGTACGTGTAGCTTTATAATTTTCGTTTTTTAGATCAACAAGTAATAATTATAGGTCCTAAAAAATGTGTGCTTAAATTTAAAGTTTGCCTTAGTCTTTTCCTTTGCCTTTCCCTTAGATCAGATAAGTAGATAGCCTTCGTTTTAACTGTTTGGGTTTTATTTATTTATTTTTTGCTAAAATTATATGTTGATATGAATGAATAGTTCTAAGTGTGTAGTACCTATAAGTCCTACAAAATATACTATCAAAAATTATAATTGTTTGACTTTGAAAATGAATTTTTTAGCAAACAAATAAAACACAGCGGAAGGCTCCGTGAATGCTTGGATGCCCTTTCAATTTCTTTATTTTAATTACACATTCTCAATTTTTATCCATTTAATTTTCACATATTTCGTATTCATCACTCATATTCATTATAATTTGCCCAAACAAACACGTAGTTTCCATTTAGAAATTTTATAAATTATTTAAAAAGTGAAATAGTGATGTCTTCCACAAAATTCATGGATAATAAATAACTAACGTTTATGAATGTGTAGTTGAAATTATTGTCAAATATGTGATTAGTAGATAAAAAAAAAGAGTAACACTGTTTAGCATAACTTGCGTTGAGAACCCCCAGTTTGATTTTGTGAAAATTTAGATTTTTAGTATATTTTGATGAAATTGATAAGATTTAAGGTTGAAAAATTAATAAAAAAATGTAGATCCACTAAATTTATGATTAAGATTTATTATTGAATTTGATTTAAACTTTTAACAGCTTTTTTAGCTAAATTAAATAAGAATTAAATAATATTCAAGTATCATTAATTTATAAATTATCCTAAAATTAGGAACATAAACATCTAAAATGATCTGTTAATTTAGCCCATGTTTGATCCCCATTAAATTAAATTACATTACATTCCATTTTTCTCTCTCCTATTTTCAACCACATAATCTTTCATAAAATAATATTACATATAAATCCAAAAATTTTCCTTCTTTTTTAACCACTCATTTTTTTAAAAAATACGACTTCTCTCATATTCGTTTTCAGGTAATGGGGGTTAAACAGGGGCTTAATTAAAGGATCTTAGCTAGGTGGCAGAATTGGTTAGGTGCTAGATAGGATTATTCAAAATGATATTTCTTTGTCACTCCTTGAACTTGTTTGAACATGCCACGTGGCTTCAACCCACAATTGGCAGAACCTCGTACGAGCACCTTGCGCTGTGTCCACCACCTTCAGCCACCTATTCCCACCGTTAACCTTCTCTCCATCCTTATGTAAAAGAAATCCCTTCAGGCAAGCATAGGCAAGTTGTACTGTATTATACATATTCCCACAAAAATGCAGAAGCCAGTCGACGACACCAAGGAAACGGTGACGTTCCGAGCCGTAAGCGGGGACGAAGAGGGACGAAAACGCGTAGAGAAAGTTGAAACGGACACACACAACATTGACACACTAAAGCACATAGAGAAGAAACTGGTGGACAAAGCATTCAGAGACAGGACCGCCACCCGGTTGACGGGCGTCCGTTGGTAAAACAGGCGAAGGGCGGCCATGGAGGAAAATTCACGTGGGAGGGGCCAGAGGACGAGGTGGCGAATGAACTGGACGCAGCGCCGGCAGCCGTAGATGAGGATGATCCAAACTTCGTGGACGAGGAGACAGAGGAGAGGATATTGAGAGGGGAAGTTAGTGGGGTTGAAGGACTGGTGGTTGGCCAAGTTGAGGTGCCGAAACTTGCGGAGGAAGGGGTGGCGAGAATTGATGTTGATCCTCAGTTGCAGAGCAATGTTTAACAACTGTGTGGGGCTGGGGAGGGTGGATAGTCTGCAGAAATTTGCTTTAATTTGTATATAACGTTTGTGTTTACGTGAGAACGATGAAGCAACTGATGTTGTAACTTGCAACAATAATGTAATTTTCTTGAATTCTATGAGTTAATTTAATTAATTGTCGTTGAACTTTACTATAAGTTACTAATTCCTCATTGAGGTTTAAAAAGTTAATCTCCTCTTATTGAATTTTATTATAGATTATTTTTTGTTCACTAAAATTTAAAATGTTACTCGTTCATTGTCCAAATTTGAAGGGGTGGCGAGAATTGATGTTGATCCTCAGTTGCAGAGCAATGTTTAACAACTGTGTGGGGCTGGGGAGGGTGGATAGTCTGCTGAAATTTGCTTTAATTTGTATATAACGTTTGTGTTTACGTGAGAACGATGAAGCAACTGATGTTGTAACTTGCAACAATAATGTAATTTTCTTGAACTCTATGAGTTAATTTAATTAATTGTCGTTGAACTTTACTATAAGTTACTAATTCCTCATTGAGGTTTAAAAAGTTAATCTCTTCTTATTGAATTTTATTATAGATTATTTTTTGTTCACTAAAATTTAAAATGTTACTCGTTCATTGTCCAAATTTGAACAAAGTTACCCATCAATCACCATATTATTTTCATTAGTGTTATTTATAGCAAAGCTTAGTAGGTAACGAGTAACTTCATTCAAATTTAGATTAGCAACAAATAATTTTTCAAATTTCGATAAGCAAGTAGTAATATGTAACAAATTTCAGTGAACAACGAGAAATTTTTTAAAAATTCAGTATGTAAGTAATAACCTATAGTAAAATTTAGTGATCATGAGAGTCTAAATATGTTGTTTCGTTAGCCTTTTTTTGTTTTTTTAAATCATAGTAATTTGCAATAATGTGAAACTGAAAAGGTTGTAGAAAAATGAGCATACCCCAGAAGAGGACTTATATTATAAGGTGAAGAAATCCGTTCAACTGGGGATGTAGCTCAGATGGTAGAGCGCTCGCTTAGCATGCGAGAGGTACGGGGATCGATACCCCGCATCTCCATTTCGTTTTCCTCTTTTAAATAAATCTGTTCTGTTAGTTTTGTTGCGCAAATTTGTATGGGGCTCAGCAAGCCTGTTCTTTCGCTTGGATTTTCTCCTGAAGCCCAATAAGAAAACATCATACACTGAACTCTCATTTGCTCCAAAATAGGAGCCTCTCGTTTTGGGGAAAATGGTTTTAAATTTTAATTATCATAAATCAGGTCGTTAAGAATTTTTTCACAAAACTTGGGTATTAATTAAAAACTCATCTCCCCCTTTAACCATTTCCCACTCTACTTTGTCACTCCAGAAAACGTAGACACCATTTCTCTCCGTCTAACCATCTCTCTCTCTCTCCCCCTTTCTCTCCCTCCTTATAGCAAAAGTAGACAACAAAGTCAGTTGAAAAAGTAATATCTACACCAATCATTTCAAAAATAGATTTTTAAATTATTAGAAATTAATGGCATGAATTTGCAACACTTATTTTGTCAACCAAATTTGTAAACACACTTTGTATAAATAGTATAATACAAAACATAAAGCACCATTTTTCTATGTACTCTACTTA